GAGAGAGAAACCATATGTATCAAATTAAAGGACATTTAAAGGAAAGAGCAAAAAAGTTCAGTCAATAACCTTTAATTGGACAAGACAACTGAACAGCATATTAGTATTGATATGCTACATGCAATTAGGGTTAGTTAATTTAGGCTAATTGCAATTTTTTTAATAATATAGTTTGTTCTGCAGTTTCAGGCATTAAACTCAACGACCCGCAATAGGGTGTCCACGGTTACGTCTCCGCACCTTACCAATGTTTCACCTGGTCTTGTTTTTATACAGTCTATGGTCTTAACCTGCATAGGATGAATCTACACAGCTACTGAAGACGCGGAGAGACTCGCGCTCCTATTGGTCAGCCAGTACTGTACAGAACCTTTTCCTCAGACAATCTCAAAATTATCATGTTTATCCCAAATACTCTTAAACAACATGAGATAGACACATAGAAGAAAAATATTTAGCTGTTACTCGAAGTTATAGATTATAATTTAAAAAAGATATTTCTGGTCGAAATCGAAACTACTAACTACTCTACTAAATCTTTCGGTTTCGAAATCATTGTCTTCCGCTTAGGGATCGTGTTTCCTTCATGTCAGATACACTTAGGCCAACTTGAATTACTTTAGTTGTACTCTCTTTATATAAAGAATGGCTCTTTTGGATGTAAGTGGATATAAATATAACTCTGCGTCACAGTTTGGCTTTAAGCAAACGCATCTTCTCGACCGGTCGAATCACTACAGTTTTGGGACCAAATGCCAGGAGTTCGCGGTACCCGTCGGAGTTGACGTAAGTAACTTTATCAGTATCAATTCTTAATTAAATCTTAGAGACACATTATTACGGTGTTAAGTGATAGACAGCATAAAAACACTCATTTTGTGAGAAAATGGAAGAATGCTCGCACCCAAACATCTTGAACAGATTAATACAAAAATATGCCTTGATACATAAACCTTTATTTTTCCAGTTTTGTAGACTATCTTCAGCAATTGTAGAGCATGTAATATGTCATTAAAATGGCATTTCAAAGTTTTTGATTTGTTATATGACAGGAATATTGAGAATCTGTCTCGTAACACAGGGGACAGAGCCTCAGCAACAGCAAAAACAAACATGTAAATATATATTAGCTTGCCTAGTAACGTATTCTGTGTTCCCATCAGCCCTCTAAGTTTCTGAAGTCATGCAGTTGTGAGGATGGTGTTTCCATAGATCTGAATCATGGCACCACAACCCTGGCGTTTAAGTTCCGTCATGGAGTCATTGTGGCTGTTGACTCCAGAGCATCAGCTGGAAAATACATAGGTAAGCAAGCATCCATACATTTTTAAAGTAGGTAAACTCTTCCATGGAAGCAAGCTGATTTTACAACTACACCATAGTACAAAGCATGTCATTCATACTGAAAACAGCATTCAGAATAACACACAATTGTCAAACTGTATTTTTTCCATATCATGATGTTTCTTCCAATGTGTTGCAGCATCAAAGGAGGCCAATAAAGTGATAGAGATCAACCCTTACCTGCTGGGCACCATGTCAGGCAGCGCTGCAGACTGTCAGTACTGGGAGAGACTGCTGGCGAAAGAGTGCAGGTCTGTCTCAGCATGCTTCTGAGAGCCGTGAAGCATCTGCTCACTGGATGAAGTTACCAGTTTGTGTTTGTGTTCAGCTGTGTCAGGAAATGTATTCGGTTTAAAGCCTTGGTTAAATATTATTAGAAGAACAGATTTTAAAAATTACTATTCACATCATGTGAAAATAACCTTTTCAGTGCATTGGTAAAGATTTAAAGGAATGCGCACACTGTTGTTGAATTAACTAACTTTCTTCTGCTTAACACAAAATAAAATTTTAAAGAATGTTTTAGTTATTTCATTGTCTATACGATAAATGTTCAACGAGATCTGAAACCTTTAAACTCCAAAAAGGACATAAAAGCATGAAGTGATGATGAACAGATTGAAATTTAGGTTTGGTTCTGTCTCATATCAAAACATTGTTCAACATATGCATACACAGATTACATCAAATATGGCAAAACAAACCTCAAGTGTCAACTAATACTAAACCTCATTGGTTCTCGTATGTCACATGCCAAATGTCATTATGTTTGAGGATCATGTTCACCATATTGAATATACAGTATATATAGTCTTAACATGTGGCTGTGTCAGAAATCACATACTCTCTGAGTAGGTACTTCACGACTATTTCTATATGATATGAATGTGTGTAGTATAAATATAATGTGGATGTACCACATTCGTCATGTTATCATTGTCATTTGACCTATAGTTACAGTTGTGTCACTTCACTGTCATTCACAAATCCTCTCTCGTGGCCTCATGGGACAGTGAAGTATCCAGTGGATGCACACTTTAGAATATCATCGAAAGTGATAGGTCATCCGGCAAGATTTTGCCTACTGTCTCAACCTCGTAACCCAAAGGTTGTGGGTTCGAGTCTCGTACCGGCAGGGATTGTAGGTGGGGGGAGTGAATGTACAGCGCTCTCTCCCATCTTCAATACCATGACTGAGGTGCCCTTGAGCAAGGCACCGAACCCCCAACTGCTCCCCGGGCGCCGCAGCATAAATGGCTGTTCACGGTGTGTGGGTGTGTTCACTACTGTGTGTGTGCACTTTGGATGGGTAAATGCAGAGCACTAATTCCGAGAACTTGGCCACATGTCACTTCACTCACTCATACTGTTTTCGCCTACTATGTCATAGTAGCATAGTATGCATATCCAGGTGAACATTGTGTGTTGATTTGATTTGATTTAAGAGTGTATACAGGCTTAAATTTCAATCTGTGATCATGTCATAAAAATTTAGAACAACATGAATAAATGATGGTAAATGATGCCTTTCCTCTTTGGGATGAACCAAAAGAGCTGTGATACTGTCTGTCTTAATCTTCTTTCAAATTAAAATACTCATATACAAATATTAAAATACATATTATTAAAATACTCTTATACAAATGTACCACAATCACTATGTGATGTTATCTGAAGAAATTCAAATGTGCAGAAGCCCATTATGTTCTGTTGATTCTTATACTTGCTTGTTCGGTCATTACAAACAGAATGTCACCATGTTGCTGTTTAAGCCACCGCTATTCTTTGTTAATATATTAAGTGTTTGTGTGTTTTAAAAACAGACTTTACAAACTGCGTAACAAGCAGAGGATCTCAGTGTCTGCAGCCTCCAAACTGCTGTCCAACATGATGCTGGGATACAGAGGCATGGGTCTGTCTATGGGGAGTATGATCTGCGGCTGGGACAAGCAGGTGATATGTGTGTCTGTTTATACGACTGTTTTGTGTTTTTTGCTTATTTGCACATTTTCAGTGTTCTCAGTCAAGCATATACTGTTATACAATACAATTGAATAAAACAAAATAATTGTAAAGCTCTTAGTAAGATCTTATAATTGTCTTGTGGAACAACCATGCATACACATAATCTTCAGTTACATTCATGTTACCTCTTTTCCCTCACATCAGGGTCCAGGTCTGTACTATGTGGATGATAATGGCACTCGTCTCTCCGGCCGGATGTTCTCCACTGGCTGTGGGAACAGTTATGCGTATGGTGTTGTGGACAGCGGTTATCGTGAGGATATGACTGTGGAGGAGGCGTATGAGCTGGGTCGTCGTGGTATTGCTCATGCCACACACAGAGACGCTTACTCCGGTGGTGTGGTCAACCGTAAGTACAGCAGTGTATTACAAACTGGCTAGCAATGATTCTGAGATGGACCCTTTTTTAACATTAAAATAAAAATGTAAGAATATAGACCTGCAGTAATGTGCTATTATGGTTCAACCAAAATCTGTGAGAAGTGTGAATCGGTCCCCAACAATAAAACAAAACAACCCCAACACAAGAAATAACCCTAAACTTTGTATTTCAGCCCTACATTATTGTTTTATTAATTAATTAATGTACATTATTGTTGCATAGTGTTTGTGTCATATTTAAGAGATGACATTTTCACATATATTTTCTCTGTTTAGTGTACCACATGCAGGAGGACGGCTGGATCAAGGTGTGTAAGGAGGACGTGTCAGAGTTAATCCACAAATATAAGAAGGGAATGTTCTGATCTGATCACTCATTTATCTGACAGTAAAAATTAAACTGTTATCAAATCAAAGACGCTTTTGGTGCATTCTTTATAATATATTTGAATTGTATTTTCTGTAACTATCTGTCTAAGTGAATAAAAAATGAACTTAATTCACTTATTTTACAGGACAAATATAGCTCCATATTTGTGATGACTTTGTGCTTTATAGTCTACCCAATTTGTATGTGGTTCCAACTGGGTCATTCTCTGGCAACTGTGCAGTTTGTGCCAGAAAAATAATTTCATTTGAAAAGATTATTGCTGAATCTTCATGATTTTTTCATGATTTTTTTTAAGGGGACCACCATAGGCAGTGCATCTTCTCCAATATTCAGATTAGTGGTGTACAAATATGGGATTCATAAAGTGTTTTTTTTTTTTTTTTACTCAATATGCCAATTTTAAGTGGAAGCAAAAACATGCTGGTTTCGTGCATGTAAGCACGCACACAGAAAGCGGCTGTCACTCAGCATGTCAATACTAAACTAAGTTCTCTTTCATGTCGTATTGCGCTCAAACTGTCAAATACAAACAAGGCTATTCCAAAAACACACATAATTTACAAAAACACAGTCGGTTATGTCTACGAAAGTAAACAGCTGGGAAAGAAATCTGTGTATTACCTACTGCAGTCTATGCTGTTAATATGACCCAAACAATAAAATAAAAACAGAAAATGGCTCACTGCTCTTGACTGAATAATTTGAGTAGCTTTAATAAGAATACATTTCTTACTTCAATGCTGCTTTTAAATGCTCTAGCACAGGGGTTTTCAAAGTCAAAGTCCTTGGTAAAAAAAAAAAACCTTCTGGGCCCCCTCTCCCTTGTCGGGCCCTTGGAATCGTCCTAACCTTCCCCCCATTATGGCTCCCCTGCTCTAAAATATGCTACTTCAGTTAGCATCCATTATTAAACACTTGCAGGGCACGAATTTAGACAACTGCACTTATTTATTGAAATGTGTTCATGCAAAAAGACGATGGCGATCAGTGCGCAGAGTCACTACTCTCTCCGCCATCTCGGATTAAATCGGTCAGCTTTTCTCTGCATTAGCACTGTTTTGAACTGGCTGTTTGAATGCATTCGCTTACTGGATCCATGAACTGAAAACTTTCCAGGAGTTTACCGGTTTAAAATGATCTGATCGCAAACAGAGGAGCATAATGACGTTTCATGTCCAAAAACCTGCTTCTTTTAATAAGTATTTGTGTACAATAATAAAGTATTAATAAAACATTATGTTTATACAGATTCAAATGATTAATCATTCATTTATTTATTTATTTTCAACCATTTTCTGCGCCTCCCCTGATATGCTCTAGCGGCCCCCCAGGGAGCGCCCCATGCTTTGAAAACCCCTGTGGTGCATCCCAATGTGCCTACTTATACTACGCTCTTAAAGTATGTACTCTTTTGGTGAAGAAAAACTACACACTTTTGAGTGTGTAGTAGAAGAGTAGGCAAGCTTTGGGACATACTATCACCTCATACTGTTGCGTCTTTAACGGACCGCTCTGTCACACCTGTTACCACTGTTAACTGGCCTGTCAATCATCTTGTCACAGTTAACATCCTCCACATTTCATTTCATTTAACTTTCTACCATATTGGAGAGAAAAGTACATTTACATTTACATTTACATTTAGTCATTTAGCAGACACTTTTATCCAAAGTGACTTACAAATGAGGACAATAGAAGCAATCTAAACCAACAAAAAGGCAATAATATATAAGTGCTGTGACAAGTCTCGGTTAGCCTAACGCAGTACATGTTGCAAGTTTTTAAAAAATATATATACAGTATATATAATAAATAAAAAGAAAACAAGTAGATAGAATAGAAAAAGAATAGGGAACGCTTGTGTTAGAGGGTCTTCCTATTTCTTCTTTTTTTCCCAAAAATAAAAATAAGTCAAAAGAATGGAAAAAGAATAGAGAATGCTAGTGTTAAAGGCTCTTTTTTTGTTTCAAAGAAAACAAGTAGTAAGAATAGAAAAAGAATAGAGAGTGCAAGTGTTAGAGGTTCTTCTCTTTTTTTTAAATAAAAATAAAACAAGTCAAAAGAATAGTAAAAGAATAGAGAATGTTGATCTGCCAGCCGTGGGTCTTTATGTGGAGAACTCATATTTTTTGCATAATGATGCATTTAAAAGTTAATGGCCAAACGGAAACTTAACCGTTGGTCGTGCACATCTGCCATGTTTGTAGTTTTTTAACGCTTTTTATTCATGTTTGTAGATCTGAACCAAATCCTACGCCAAAGTGCAATGGATTTTGGGCAATATTACCCGTTAGAGCGTGTACGGATCCACACTTCAAAAATCTACCTGAAATAATAGACCATCCGGGGACTTTTGGCATACTCTTTTCAACATACTATGTCTTGGGACACACTTATTCTAATCTCACATACTATTTATTTAGGATGGATAGTATGAACATTGGGACATCAACAGTCATGGGCGGGCCTGTATAAAGGGACGCCACTTTGTACAGATTCTGCCAACGGCTTGTTCTGAGACACTGCTTGTGATTTATGGGGATTAAAAAAGGAGCAGGTAGATTTTTATTATTATAGGGGGGTTATGTTCACACACTGCCAAAACACATTTATGTACAAACACCATGTAAAAGTGAATTTAGCATAATAGGTCCCCTTTCAGTATATAATTAAGTTGTCTAATCTAAATAATCTATGAATATAGTGGCAATGAATATTATTGAAAAAATTTTAAAGCTCCTTTGCCTTACAATTTGTCACTCAATGTGATGAAGTTTAGTATACTACTTATAGACCTATCAGTAGTTCTTACAGTATCCTGTAAATGGTTGAAAATGTTCTTTTTGAACAACTTGCAGTTGCTACTTATTCACTTCAAATTTCAACTTATAAGCCTCATGTCTCCATATGATTTATCACAAGACATCTCGACATCAAGACATAAAGACTGAAATTTGCTTTTGGTTAAATCAACACAATAGATGTAGGGACCATTTTTAATATAACTCCGACTGGATTCGTCTGAAAGAAGAAAGTCACATACACCTAGGATACTTCGAGGGTGAGTAAAACACAGGCTAATTTTCATTTTTGGGTGAACTAACCCTTTAAGAGCTCTTTAAAGTGCTAAATGATATTTTTCTGGTGTCATATATCTGAGCAGCTCAACACTCTTGCTTCCTTCTTATGTTCATTGTGAATATATACATTTCACCAGCAAAATTTCTAAAAATTCTGCATGCCTGCAGTGGTGAATACAGTCATTTTGATTCTGAATAACATTTCATATCAACTTTGGGAAGGAATCATGCATTTTAACATCATGTATGATCTAAGATCTGTAATTCTAGAATATTCTGTAGCATCTGAAGCAAAAGTTAATTAATAGATTCTGATGAAATATGGATGCTGCTGTTTTGGCAAGAGAAAGACAGACATTCATCACTTTTTGTGAGGTTTATTTATTTTTAAAGAATCAAAATAAGATTACAATGTTTTGAAGGCAACCAATATACAAAAAATATTCATTTAGCTTAATTTAGATTTAGTAACCTCAAATCAATGAAAATATCTATTATGTATTGTACTGAACAGATGTTCATGTAAAGGTTTAACAGTACAGTGTCTTAAACATTACAAGAATCAATATTATTATGTAGTACTCATCTAAATTATGTAAAACAAAAAGAAAAAAGTTTGCAAACAGAAAAAGTCCAATAATCCCATACAAGATATAAAATATGAAGCCTACATATTGTTTCATTTTATTGATGGAATAGCCCAATTCCACAATTCATCCAAAGATAGTTATTTTAAGTTTTGCAGGAGATATTATTCCATGACTTGTTAGCATTGCCCTGATTTATTTCATATTCTATTTCCTCTAGAAACATCATTTACACAAAAGATGACTACTATACTATATTGTGACTGACTATACACACTAGAAAGTGTTTATTTCCACAAGTTTCTATTTTTTCACAATCAGTACTGATATCACAAATCCTACAAATTAATCAAACATGCAAATCAATTATTTATATTATTGGTTTCTTTTTGTCATCAAAGAGGAATATACTGTATATATTTTACAATTAAATCTCTGAGATCAACATGCCATCTTAAAATGAACACGTTCATACAATTAAAGAAAAACAAAAGATGAACAAAGTGTGAAGAAACAAAAACTTTACTTTGCAGATGTAATTAATGTAGAACCATAATATAGATCAATCCCATCACTGAAAACCATGATCCTGTGTGTGTGTGTGTGAGAGAGAAAGTGTGTGAGAAAGTGTGTGTGTGTTGTAAGCACGATGGACAGCAGGATAAGCATCATGTTTTACTTCATCTCTCGCACTCATCTGGTCTCCTAAAATGCCAAAAAACAGATTACATTTCATTGATTTCACATGACTGAAACAGCTGCACTAATGAATAATAATAATAATAATAATACACTTACATCTTTATGCTTTTGGATCTGTATGAGCTGAGCTGTTAGAGCCATCATCAGAGGCTACAACAGAAAACAAATTACAACAATTACAATCATCATGACAATATAGCTACATCACACAATTACACAATTTCTTATTTATTGATTCTATTTAAAGAAAAATATTGTAGAACTATACATATATTTTGATTTACTCTTTGATTTTACATTAACAAAATTTTAGAAATGTAAACATATTACTATTAACATATTACTATTATATAAGGGCAGAGCCCATCTGTTATTAATAAATATAAAGCAGAGATTAAGAAAAACGTACCATTGACAGGTTTGAAGCCTGAAAAACAGAAATCCAGAGAGATGAAATATTATCACACAAATGTTTAAAACATGCAATGTAGTCAATAGTGATGATGATGATAATAATAATAATAATAATAATATCTAAATGTCTCTCACCTTTCTTTTTCTGATAGACCTTATACCCAGCAACAGCAATGATAACCAACAGGAGGACAACAGCAACAACACCAACAATGATGCCATAGGAACAGAATCTCCTGTTTGATCAGAGGAAAACACCAGCTTATTAAAGATTCTGACAATCTTAGAAACTGGTACAGGTTTCAAATTTCATCAGATACAAAAAACAGAATCTATGATTGTTATATCTGTTGAACATCTGTTGTTATATACAAATCATTGCAAAGCAACTTTACAGCAAATTAAGTTTCTACAATATTTAGTGGTAGCTTATCAGTGGTGACTGTCAATTAATGTACATATGGCAGAAATGTACGGAAAAATCAATTTAAGACGTAATAAAACAGACGATGAACACTATTAACAGCAATTATTATATGATGCAATCAAACACGTGGTAGTTCTGTGTGTTGTTTCAGGGTTGGCATCATCTGAGGTCCTCTGAGGGGTTGCATCATCTCTTCTCAGGTGTTCTGGATCCAGACAGAAGCTTGCTCACTATGCAGTGATTATCAAAGCAACTGATATTCTCTCCAGAGTGTCCCTCCCATATTTCTTTATCCACTCAGTGCATAAGATATGCTTTATAGACATTTGCATCTGCTCTGGTGGAATCCCATTTGTTCTTGGTAATCATAGTTTAAGGATTTGCAGCTGTGAAGGTGAGGGTGTTCTTATCAAAGCGGAGGAAGTTCTCTCCATCATAACCATACTGCAGGTATCCTCGTTTGGAGCCATCATCATCCAGCTCACAGCCGTACATGAACTGGAACGCATGAACACCTGAGAGGAGAGAAACAACATGATATATCACACTCACCATTCTTCATTTCTTGATGATTGAGCAGAATGTATTCCAGTCTTCTTTTTCTACACAAAACCAAACATCCACATAAAGATGAGAGCAATTATGATTAGCTAATGGGACTGGTTGGTACTAAAATATACTAGCATTCAGGAAAAGTGAATAGATGAATATGATTACATATAAACATGAAATCTTTGTCTGTGCATACAGTGCATCCAGAAAGTATTCACAGCGCTTCACTTTTTCTACATTTTGTTATGTTACAGCCTTATTCCAAAATGGACTAAATTCATTATTTTCCTCAAAATTCTACAAACAATACCCCATAATGACAACGTGAAAGAAGTTTGTTTGAAATTTTTGCAAATGAATAAAAATAAAAAAAATACAAAAATCACATGTACATGCACACTTGCCATGACACCCAAATTGAGGTCAGGTGCATCCTGTTTCCACGGATCATCCTTGAGATGTTTCTACAACTTCCACCTGTGGTAAATTCAGTTGATTGGACATGATTTGGAAAGTCACACACCTGTCTATATAAGGTCCCACAGTTAACAGTTGTCCAGCGCTCTCTCCACCCTCAATACCACGACTGAGGTGAGACCCTTGAGCAAGGCACCGAACCCCCAACTGCTCCCTGGGCCTACTGCTCCGGGTGTGTGTTCATGGTGTGTGTGTTCACTGCTGTGTGTGTGCACTTGGATGGGTTAAATGCAGAGCACAAATTCTGAGTATGGGTCACCATACTTGGCCACATGACACTTTCACTTTCACTTTCACTTTTTTTCTCACTTATGGCAACAAACAAGGATGCACAGCAAACAGGTAAACAGGAACACAGGAAGAGAGTACAGAAACAATGGGGCATTTCAATATACATTTCAATATAAAGTCCTAAACAAAGACAGGGAAACACAGGCAAAGTTACATAACAGTAACATCTAAATGAAGTTTTATTCAAGTCAAAAATATTATATAATTTATACACCAAAACTACTTTATGTGGGTTAATTAGATCTTTAAAGTAACATTTGCAGCACTTTTTGCAGTGTACATGGAATAAATTGTTTTATTATATAGGTCACTTGGATGATATATCAAACATGTTTTAGTGCATCAAATTTAAGAACAACAAAATTGTAGAATGTCAAGATTACATTCTTCCCTCACTCTGCTATTAATTCCCATGATCGGGATCTTCTTAACATTGATTTCATTTTTAGAAAGGTCTATATCCTTAAAAAAAAGTGGAACAGACAGTATGAGGATCCATGTGCCACAAGAAAATAGTTACTGTACTCGACAATGGTAAAAAAACAAGGAGAAACATTGAGGAAAATAATACGGCAATCCTTGACATCCTATCCAGATAGATTTCTCAGAGAATTAATAATTTTGCGATTCATGAACAAACAGAAAAATAGTATATTTGTTCATGAATTGGGCTACACCAATTGTGCTGTGTGTTTCTGACTCACCAAAAAGAACCGGTTGATGATATAAGAGTCCTTTGAGTCAGCTGACTACACTGGACGCACTGCATACATGTGCAGCACACAAGGACCACTTATAGATAGACATGTTTCACTCTTTTTCACAGTACAGTCTCGGTACAGGAAAAACTGCTTACATTTGTATTTTATACTGGGATAATTCTAGAATGGCAGATGGAGTGGAAACTCTTTTTCTAAGGAGGGCAGTTGTCACCCCATGCCACCCTGGTAGATCTGTCCCTGCATTAGCTATTTATTTTGAGTACTTGATTTGTTCACATTTGCCTTACAGCAGATTAGATTGCACATTTAGAGAATTACTTTAATCGAAAGCAAACAAATTAAGTTTAGAGGAGAAATATTTGTTTCCCAGTGTACTTACTCGATATATTTTCTTTTAGACACAAGCCAATATGTTACTTAATGTAGGTCAAAATTTATTTATTTTCACAACTTAATTTCACCATAAACAGAAGCTAAATTAGCTGTAGTGAAAGTAGATTTTCACTTGAGATAAAACTACATTTGTTAGTGTTTATATTAGTTATAAATCAACTTACTAATAACAAGAATATTATTTTCGAAAGTCCTTAATGTTTATTGTGATGTCTTTTTAAAACGTGCATAAAAAATAAACAATTATAAAACCCACAATAATTTCTGTAGTCAACAAAACTAGCCAGTATATGTTCTGCACATCAACTTTCTGGTATCAAGTGGAAATATTATTTAAACAAAGTTTATTTTTATTTGTTTCTATGTTATTTGCTTTTAGCACCGAATTGAACTAAACAGGTCTAATCCTAAAACTTGAGTTTCAGTCTTAGTCTCGTAATTTTCATAGAAAATTAAGGTGATAATTAAAAATAGTGTGTATATTTTATTAAGGAAATTGTGGTTCAGTGTTGTATAGAAAATATTGAGAACATTTCACTAATAAAACCAAAAGATAAATTTTCCTCATTTTTTAAGGAAACTTAAGCCGTTTTGAGGCTTGAACTGAGGAACCGATGATAAAATTATGGAAAGATGGCTACCTATTTATTTTAAGACAATTAATTGAATAATGCAGGTTTTATTTAGACACCATTTGGTGGTGATTGTTTGGTGTGAAATTAAGTGTTATTTAACATCTGTTAATGTTTAATGTTCAGTTATGTTTAACATTTGAGAGTTTCTATTATTTTGAAGTTTTGATTGTTACCATTGTGCAGAGTAGAGCTGATGGTCAGGTTGTGTATGAACTGTTTTTACTAATACTGGTACTATGAAGCATGTTTGGTTTAATGAGCAATAGCTTTGCTAATGCAGTGCAGAAACAAGTTTGTTTTTACTAGTGCTGTGCCAGCAGCATACAGTCTTTCAATTAAACAACAGTTTGTTTCCATTCACTCAAAATCACACACTTTAGAGAGTAAACCTAAAATAAGAGCACATTTCACTGAAAATATTAAATTCATTGTGTTATAGACTAAAATGTTTTTATGAGATTCTACATGGTTTATTCATTTAGATTCTATTAAAGAAATAAAGCTATAAAACCACTCAAAATATTGTTACCATAATTTTAAGTAGATAGCACATAACCTTTACAGTGTAGATTCTAATGAAATATGAATTCTATTATTTGAATAAGAGAGTAAAAGACAAATATTCACCACTTGCTCCTTTCTGTGAGGTTTATTTTCTTTAAAGAATCAACATTACAATTTTTAAGGCAACCAATTTACATCCACATTCATGTTAATTCAACTTCACATTCAACGTTAATCTTTACTAACCTCAAATAAAGGAAATATGTATTTTACTGTACTGTTCAGATGTTAATGTTTAATAACATCATCTGTTCTGGAGTATTATCTAACTATTCTGGAGTACAGCTTATCATCTAAATCATTTAAAACAAATAAGAATGTAAAAACAGAAAAAGCCCAATAATCCCATACAAGGAATAAAGTAAAGCATACTGATTGTCATTTAACTGAAGGAAAAGCCCAGTTCCACACATCATCAAATCTAGACCATTTGAACTTAAAGTTATTTAAATGTTGCAGTCGATAAACAACTAGTTTTCCATAATTTATCCCACAGAAACTGTCTCTAGAAACTACATATAAATAGAGATGTATCTTCTTAGACTGAGAGAGGCTGTTGTACCCAGATGTTTACATCGATTATACACATTTCAGCTCCTTTTTCATGGAGAGTACTGCATCATAAACCTACAAATCAATCTGTCCTAGATCCTACAAATCAAACAGCCATGCAAACCAATCATTTGTATTCGTTGTTTTCTGTCACTGAAGAGAAATATATACATTTTACAATTTAGCTTCTGTGACAAACATCTCATATTTCTGCAGTTTTAACAAACAAGTTAATAAACTGAAAACTATAAGATGATCAGCAAGTGTGAAGAAACAAAAACATTACTTTTTTGATGTAATTAATATATAAGACAGATCATTCCCAGAAATCTTTGATTGTGTGTGTGTGTGTGTGTGTGTGTGTGTGTGTGTGTGTGTGTGAGTGAGTGAGTGAGTGAGTGAGAGAGTGAGAGAGTGAGAGAGAGAGAGAGTGAGAGAGAGAGAGAGAGAATGTGTGTGTTTATGTGCAGTTTTCTAAGCCAGCAGGAAAAGTTTCATCTCTCTTCATCTCTCATATGTCTGGTCTCCTAAAATGCCAGAAAAATATATTACATTCATTAATTTGACATGACTGACACAGTTATAGTGATGAATAAAAACACACCTACATCTTTATGCTTGTGGAACTGCATGAGCCGAGCTGTTTGAGCCGTCATCAGAGCCTAAAACACACAACAATATTACAGTAACATCACAACAGACTGATCACACAACACCTTTTAGATTAGCACAGCAATCATTTCTGAAGCTCTCCAGTGTCATAATTATTCTAATGTATAAGTTCTACATTAGAGAGAAAAACATACTGGACAAAACTTCTATTTTAATTTACTGTATGATTTTATATTACTAAAACATTATATTATGGATTTAGAAATATGAAGACACTTCTTTTAACCACATCATGGCCAATGTCAGAGTCCACTTTGATACATTCTCATTATTTGTATTTATAAGAAACTTACCGCTGACAGGTTTAAAGCCTGAAAACAATCAGAGACGTGAACTGTAAGTGAATTTCATTCAACCACAAAAGTTAACATGATCAAATCTAAGACTACAATCAGTGAACACAATTTAAACTTCTTTAAGTTCCTCACAAACAACATTTAATACATTTATATGCTATTTAAAATGTTGTACTTTATACAATTTAAAAAAGTTAATCGAAGACATTTGAATCATTTGAAGGACTTTTGTGCACCCTGTTATAGAATTTGTCCTCACCTTTTTTCTTCTGATACACCATATATCCAGCGACAGCAATGACCACCAGCAGAACAACAGCAGCAAGAGCACCGACAATGATGCCGATGGGAACAGACTCTCCTGTTTGTTCAGAGAAAACATCAGTTTACTCACAAAGACAGATAATGTTACTAACCAGTGAAACTCTCAAACAGTGTCTGTGATTGTGATATATGCAGTACATTGCTATGTAGTGACAGCATGTTCGCAATGTGCAACCATATAACAACAATACAGGCCTAAACATGTTGTGTTTGTACTCTATTGTTTGTTTTGTGATTGTTTCCATTTTACTTTATTTTTCAATAAACTTCCTTGTTAATAAACCAAAGATTAACTTTGTTGCTCGAGAAGCAGTTTTAAAAAGCCTGAAGTCTGAAGTAGTTTTACATTTGAATCGCTTTTAAAAGCTTGAAGTTTGAACTCCTGAAACGTAGCTTTGTTTTATTTTCTGTCAAATCAATGTAATATATTTTTGTTTGATAATATTTTTTCTTTTTTAATTTTGTATTTTGAGAGAATTTCATGGCTCTAATGAATATTTACACAATAATGATGATCAAATTTTTCCATCGAAAATATTTTTTTCCCCTAATATTTTCATCTCATCTAAAGCATCTCTGCTCACACATTTTTATTTTCAGCAAAATCAGTGTAATATATTTTTGTTTGATAATATTTTGTGTTTTTTAGTTTGTATTTTGAGAGGATTTCATGGCTCTAATGAATATTTATACAATAATTATGATCAATTTTTCACATTGAAAATAATACTTTGTGTGTGGTCTGATAGCGGCTGGCAGAAAAGCCACTGAGTGTCTATCTTCCGCTGAAGCAGCGATTGTTAAACATTCATCACATGTACTGCGGTCTAAAGCTCAGCTGTGATCTTGATCAGAAGTGAACGGCTCAGACAGAAACTGCATCTGAAGCTCTTCATAACGTGTGTCTGACAGAAGCCAGTGTTGTTCATCTGCTGCCATCAGACGCTTCACAATCAGCTCTCAATCCCACTGAACACAATCAGTCCAAGCCTCTCAGAAGCTAATAACCTCGATCAGCAAACACAGCACCTCCAGCAAACACGCTCCGGTGAGCAGCTTCTGCTCAGAACTTCACGAGAGTCTGTGTAGGATTGTAAAACTAGCGTGGGATTCAGCTCCAGCAGGATATAAATATGAAATACTGATATCAATAAAGAAGTCTAATCACTGCTGAATGTATGACGGTTCTGCTGAAATGCTCTGCTTTCGTTTCTTCGAGTGTCTGTGTTGTTGAATCTTGTTCTGGACTCACAGAGCTTCAGTTTGAGCTCCAGCGTCTCGTCTCTACAGAGGAACAGGCTGTGTGTGCTTGCTAGCTTACTTTAGCACTTCGTTCGCATGTTTATAACAGCTTTAGCACGTTGCTAACACGGTTTAACACACTGCTAGCCTATTTTGTTGGTTTTAGCCTGATTTAGCACACGGTTAGCATCTTCTACCCTATCGCTAACGTGTCCTAGGCTAGTTTCTAGGCTTTGCTAGTGATAGAGTGAAGGATTCTGGGAGTTTGTAATCTGAACGTGCCGCGAGTGGAAGTCTTTGATGGGTGTTTTCAGGGAAAGCTTCAGGAGGATCTCTCTCTCTCTATATTGACTGTGAAACTCAGACTGGATTCTAGAAAGAAGAAGAAGAACTCCTGGACTGCTTGTGCTCTGTAGAGCGCAGTAACTCATCTGAACTGGTGTTTGTGTTCAGGACAGAAGAACACGTGATGAACGAGTGCTGCTCTGCTGTTCAGACGATCAGTCACTCAGAGACTGCAGTGTTTAAAGAAGAGCTTCACTGATGAAGATGAGGATGAAGAGCAGTCAAGCTCTTTAACCTTTCTTACGTAGTAATGAATGAAGAGCGTGTGTTTCGTGTCACTGCTGTATTAAACGTGAGTAAAGGTCAGAGGTCAGTGTGTTTGTGTTCAGTCTCTCAGATGTGATCTGGTCTGGATGAGGACTCCCCATCATCCTCCACAGAGCACAGCTTCATGATCAGCGCTGCTGGATATTTACTCTCTGAGCGAGCCACGCCGAGAGAAACTCAGATAGAAGAGCGCTTTGTGTGTGTTTCGTCTTCAGTCTGAGGATCAGACGTCTCGAGAAGAAGCTGAAGTCCTCAGAGAAACCAGCTAGAAACACTGAATCAGTGTCCGCTATAAAAATATCAGCATTATAAAAGCTCGTCTGAAGCAGATCTGTTCACACGTTTCACTTCTTCTCCTCTGTTTCTGAAGCAGAACCGGTTCATTTCTCACAAAAGAAGAATGAGATTAAAAATATTATTAAAACAAACTTTCTGTTTCTTGAGAATCAGTTTAAAAAGTGTGAAGTTTGAAGTAGTTTTACATTTGAATTACTTTTAAAAGCTTGAAGTTTGAACTCCTGAAATATAACTTCTTTTATTTTCTGTAAAATTAATGTAATATATTTTTGTTTGATAATATTTTGTCTTTTTGAATTTGTATTTTGAGAGAATTTCATGATACTAATTAATATTTATGCTATAATAATGATCAATTTATTCCCATCGAAAATAATACTTTTTTTTTCTAATATTTTCATCTCATCTAAAGCATCTCTGCTCACACATTTCACTGCTTCTCCTCTGTTTCTGAAGCAGAACCAGTTAATTTCTTACAAAAGAAGAACTAGATTCAAAATATTATTAAAGTTTGAAAGTCTTTGAGGCACAGATAGTTTCAGGCTGTAATCTTCATCAGAGCAGTGAATGGCTCAGACTGTGTTGCAGAAGTGAGTTAAACCAAAGACTATAGAATAATCATAAAGGGACTTTGGTTAAACTCAATGTTTTTGTCTGTTCGCTGCAGGAGTGAATCACAAACTCTGATCAAACTCTCCGCCGACGAGTCGTTTACAGCAGAACTGGATCTGAAGCGCAGTATTTGTGTGGTTTTGTGACTCTGACCCTGCTGTGAAACTCAGAGTTTGAAGTGTTTGTGTGACAGATCTGTGTTGGGCTTCATCTGCAGCGTGTCTCTGATCAGACTCGGTTCACAATCAATGCTTCTGTAGTTTAAAACCTCAGTTATTAAATATGTGGTCAATGAATTAGCATCCCGTTATAGAATATAAGCCTGTTGTTTATGCCTTACGGAATGCGTCATGGTCTAAACCACGCCCCTTTCCTTCGTTGCCATAGAGACAGAGCACATTTAGGCCACGCCCACACCACGGGAAACAATCCAACGCTCTCCATTGACTTTGTATTGCGGGAAGCTGCCTCCTTGTCATTTCTGACTTATAACAAAAAACAGAACAATGTCTAAAAGCTGCTGTGTGACGAGGTGTACAGCAAACAAGCTGAAAACCCCAGAACTACGTTTTTATAAGCTGTCGAGACAAAAAACACGAAAAATACGAAACACGAAATACTGAAAATGACACAGCGTGTTACTTTACTGTACACATAGTTATACAGTATGTTTACATACACACAGTAATGGTGATCTTTACGGAGGATCAGCTGATCATTGTACAATAATATATTCTGCTGTTGTAGCATTTCAGTCTTACACTTCTCTGTCAGGCATCTTTGATGTGTCCCTCATCGCTGTGGTAATGGTGAGGGCTGTTCTCTCAGCAAACTTGTTTAAATTTGTTTTGTCAAACCTTAGTAATGTTATGACATTTATCTGATCTTGTTGTCCAGCAATTTGTTTAGAATTTCTTGTTTTTAAATGTGCTTGATGAATTAGATTAGATGATTAGATTTCACTTGACCTGACCAGATAAAACTGTCCAACTTTATTGAAATAATTTACAGTACACAATTATTTATTTTTAATAAATTAAATCTACTGTTATTGTTTTATAGTAACAAAAATAAGAAGAGTCCCAAAGACAAGAAACAGTACAATTGAAACAATCATACCTTGGGTTTGGTTGAAGCGGTCCATTGCAACTTTAACATTGTTCTTAAATGTTGCAGCAGCACCCTGAAGAATGTTAGTCTGTTGGTCATCATAATCTTTCCCAAGATTGTCTTCCATCCATTTGAACTGGCCCTTAAAGCGGTTGGTCTGGCTGTCAAAATATCCCATTAACTGATCATCAATGAGATTCAGTGCCACAAACTCTGGAAACTGACTCAACCCAGTTGTTCCAGTGTAATAGGCTTTCCAGCTGTGGATTGCTGAAATAATAATGGAAAGTTTTGAGATTATCATGGTAAACAAAATACAAGTCAATGTTACATAAGAGGAATATTTTCACTAAAGAAAATGCATTGACTAGCGTAATAAATAAATATTTATAAATATTTTAGCATAATAATTGCTATACATTCTCTAAAAAACCCTCCAGGTCTCAAGCAGTAATCTACAGGCTTCTATCCACTAATAGCACTAACTAGAAATATAATTCATATAATTTTATTGTAATATATAATAAAAAATCGGAATAAGGAATATAATTTTATAATAATTATATATTTACCAATAATTTTATATATATATATATATATATATATATATATATATATATATATATACACACACATAGAATTACAGAAAATGCATTGACTAGCGTAATAAATAAATATTTATAAATATTTTAGCATAATAATTGCTATACATTCTCTAAAAAACCCTCCAGGTCTCAAGCAGTAATCTACAGGCTTCTATCCACTAATAGCACTAACTAGAAATATAATTCATATAATTTTATTGTAATATATAATAAAAAATCGGAATAAGGAATATAATTTTATAATAATTATATATTTACCAATAATTTTATATATATATATATATATATATATATATATATATATATACATATACACACACATTGAATTATAAGTTTAGATGTAAAGAAATATTTTACCTACAAATTGATTATGCATATGCATAATGTAATATATTAAATAATAAAAATAGTTAGAACAATGAAAATTAAAAATATATATATTTATTTGGTAAGAAGTGGGAGTCAGAAAAGTGGTTTGGGTCTGTTATACACTGTTGCCCTATTAAACAATCATTATTCAGAAATATGACCATTCAACACAATTGATCAGTCATAATCATACTGACACATACATTTTTAAGTCTGTCCTGAACCGTTTTTATATCTGAATCTGAATTTATCTGAATATAAAAATAATAGCCTTGAGTAAAATTGGTTAATATAATTTATCTTACTGCCATCTAGTGGGTATTACTGCAATTCAATAACATC